CGCCACCGCCAGAAACTCCGCACTGAACAGCTCCACCGCGACTGCAACTATGGTCGCCGCCACCACTCCCACTGCCGCCACCGCCGCCGCCACCACTCCCACTGCTACACCGAAGAGAAGGCATAGCGGGCAACGCAAAGAGGCTTGGGACCAGCAGGGGAGCACCCAGTCAAGGCAGGGCGACGAAGAGGCACTAGGGTAGCGCGTAGGGTAGGGCGAGGGAGCGCACGGTCAGGGAAGGGTGGCGTGCGGCCAGAGAGGGCCGCGTACTGCAAATAGGGCGGCGCGCAGGCAGGACAGGTCCGCGCGAGGGTGGCTGAGGCGGCGCGTGGGGCAGCCGCGGGCTGCGCGAGCGGCAGAGGCGGCGCGCTGGGTAGCAGAGGGCCGCGCAAGGGCGGCGTACGCGGGGCGCAGGGCAGCCGCGGGCTGCGCAGGTGGTGGACGCGACGCGCGGGGCAGCAACGGGCTGCGCGGGCTGCGGACGCGGCGCGCGGGGCAGCAGCGGGCTGCGCGAGGGTGGCAGCCGCGGCGCGCGGGGCAGGATTGGACTGCGCGGGGCAGCCGCGGGCTGCGCTCGCGGCGAACGCGGCGCGCGGGGCAGCCGCGGGCTGTGTAGGCGGCGGATGCGATGCGCGGGGCAGCAGCGGGCTGCGCAGCGTAGGCAAGGCAGGGCATGCGTGGGCAGTGCAGCGCAGACAAGGTAGGGCGCGCACGGGCAGCGCAACGCAGGCAAGGGAAGGTGCGCGCGTGGGGCGCAGCACAGGCAAGGCAGGGCACGCGCGTGGAGCGCAGCGCAGGCAAGGCAGGGCGCGTGTGGGGCAGCGCAGCGCAGGCAAGGCAGGGCGCGCGCGGGCAGCGCAGCGCAGGCACGTAGGGAAGCTTAGTAACCGCAACGGTAGGTGGGCCCGAAAAAAAAAAAAAAAAAACCGTCCTACGGACCTACAGAATGTAGGCTCTGAAACCATGTCAGAATGTATAGGCATGGTTTCAGAGCAAAAAAAAAAAAAAAAACCATGTCAGAATGTCTAGGCAGGAATGAATGAATTTGGTCAAAGTTGGGTACAAGTATCAAACCCTAGAGGGGTTGTACCCCATATTGGCTACCCCACTACAGCCTACACAAATATAACATATGTAGTTTTCTGTCGGGGGAGTTGTAAACCCAAAGCATAGAATCAACAGCATGGTTATTCAGAATTTAGGGAAGGCAATAGCAGAGCAGGACCCTCGGAGAAGTCGCCACAGTATACACACATCCCTTGATACCAAAGCACTGGATGAAGAAAGGCATACGCTGGAAAGCTATCATGAAAGCGCTATGGGAATCCAAGATCATAACTGTCGGAGACCCGGAACACAGGTGGGATGCGGATAAGGAGGAAGTTGTTTTTCAACCACAATATGTTCTTATGGGGAAAGTCGCCGTTTGGCGGGCAGAAAGGGTTGCACCGTATGAAAGGAATCAGATTGGGCGACCTGATCGTAAAAGAGTTTGACGGAAGCAGATCACTTAAGAGCGATGCCAAGCTCAAAAGACAATTAGATGGAGAGGAGCAGATGAAGTGGACCATGAAAGCATGGGAAGCGACGCCGCAGAACTAGGGGACAAGCTGTTGAAAAAGCTAACCACGGAAGAGATGTTCATGGTGACTAGACTGGCGGCATCATACCAGCCTAGGGATATACTTTACTACATGGTGGAGTATGCAAGAGAAGGCGAGCTGTACAAATGAAGAGTGGCAGTGGATAAGAAGGGCTACATCAGCAGGTTTGAATATGCTAGCGTTACATCGATCAGCTTCCTACAAGGAACCACCATGGTGGAGATAGAAGGGAGAGTGAGGGGCCCGCTGTGAGCTCCAAGAACGCGGCTACTACGCTCACAGATTTTTGACTGGGAGAGCGGGCGGAGCTAAAGCAACTTATGAAAGTGATGAAAACCCCAGCTACTCAGCCAAAGAAGCAGCTACAGTCGGAGGAGACGATGGGATGGAGGAAGGCCATCACGGCTCGTGACTGTCTCACAACCCTTGGCAGAGCAAGAGAAATTAATATGGAGGGCGCATAGCAACAACCTCCGAATGGGGAAGAGGTTGCCTTTCCTGGGGGTGGGAGCACGCTGCCCACACTGCGGGGAGACAGAGTTGCAAAACCACTGCCTCTACATCTGCCCGGAAATACTGCGGGTGGTCGGGGCGATGAAGAATGTGGTACAGAGGATGAACCCAGGCAGGGTGAAGGGGTCCCTCGGCGACATGCTTTTCCAGGAGAGCTGCACGTTGACGGGGTTTCCAAAATTAGTCATAATTTCGTCCACGGTGCACCAAGCCTAGCTGGAAAGGTGCGATGCGGTTTTTCGAGGCGAAAGATTCCAGCCAAAGAGGGCCCTAAGGCGAATTGCAATTAGTTTTTCGAGGCATGTGAAGATTTACAGCCGGGCTTGAAGATGGCCGCCCTGCTGGCTACCGCGCTGCCCTGCCCTGCCCGTCGCGCTGCCCTGCTGGTTGCGTGCTGCCCTGCCCTGCCCATCGCGTCGCCCTGCTGGCCGCGCGCCGCCCTCCCCTACCCGTCGCGTCACCCCAGGGCCCACACGCCGCCCCTGCCCGGCCTGTCGCGTCGCCCCAATGCCCGTGCGCCGCTCTGCTGGCCGCGCGCCGCCCTGTCCTGCCTACGCTCCACCCTGCCCTGGCCGTGTGCCGCCCTTTCCTGGCCGTGCGAGCCCCGCCTTGTCCTGCGCGCTTCCCTAGTGCCCGCGTGCCGCCCTGCCCGTCGCGCCGTCCTGCTGCCTGCGCGCCGCCCTGCCTTGCCTGCGTGCTGCCCTGCTAGTCGTGCGCCACCCAGCTCTGCCCGCTATAGCTTCTCTTAGCGTTCTCACCTTCCATTCTGAGGGCCGTCTGATCCAGTTTGAGACCTGGCTAGACGACTTACTGTTGTACCTACAGAGCGAGTCTAGGGACGGCATCTCCCTGTTTGACTACACATGTGGGACCTCTCTCACTCCTCCCGAGACAGCTGACAGTGCGACTCGCTCACAGTGGCTTACCCGTGACGCTACTGCTCGCCTCGCCGTTCGCAACCACCTGCCGTAAGTCGAACGTGCGCACATTGGCTGGCACAAGAGTGCTAAAGCACTGTTTGACGCTGTAGTTGCTCGTTACTCCTCCCCTGCCGATGCTGCTCTCTCGAGCTGTTAGCCTTTCCTACAGTCACCGATCTCATCACCCACCTTCGCACTAGTGACACTCACAACCACGCCGCGTTTAAACCCGAGTTTCTATACAAGAACCACACACCCCCCCCCTCCCCCCCCATGTACATCACTCCCTACTACCTCGTCACCCGCCTCCTTGACTCCCTTGACCCCACAGACCTCACTGTCGACCTGCTCGAGAAGCATCTCCTTGCAGCTGAGACTAGCATAGTCGCTGTAGCTGCTTCTCGTGGCACTCCTCGCACTCCCTTCTTTGAGGGGTGTTCCCCCTCCCCCCTTGCCCCCTCTGTCGCTTCTTGTTGCTACTGCTGTTGACTTCCTTCTTGCTGAGGAGGTCAGGGCTGCGTCTGCTCCTAGTGGGAGGCGCCGCAGCGGCAAGGGCAAGGGAGGCAAGAGTGGTGGGGGTGGCGGCAGTGGAAGGGGTGGTGGAGGCGGTGGAGGCGGTGGAGGTGGCGGTGGTGGCGGTGGGAGTGGTGGTAGTGGGAGTGGAGGCACCGGTGGCGGCGGTGGTGGTAGCGGTGGGAGTGGTGGCGGCGGTGGTGGCGGCAGTGGGAGTGGTGGCGGCGGCAGTGGCGGCAGTCGGGGTGGAGCCGTTCAGAAGGGAGGTTCTGGCAGTGGCCAGAGGCAGCAGCAGCAGCGTCCGCGCGAGACCCTTACGCCCCAGCAGCTTCGTGAGTGGTTTGCTCAGCGTGGGGCGTCTGGGGGTAGTGTTCGCTGCCCGTACGTCATTCGCACAGGTGATCGCGCTGGTCAGACATGCGGGAAGGTTGGTCACACACAGCATCGCTGTTTTTCCCGTCTTGACGTTGCCTGGCGTGCAGAGTTTGGCAACGAGGCTAAGCTCCCCCGCTGGCTGGAGCTGCTTAGGAACAATGTGGATATATTTGCTCTTGACTATGACGCTATCCTTGCTGCCATGTATGCTTGACTGCTAGTGCTGAGGGTGATTGTTACCTGTGTGTGCCGCCCGACCCAGGTATAGAGGCTGCTGCTCTAGGTGCTAGTGCATCTGCTCTCTCTGGTACTGCGCCTACTGAGGCCTTGCACACCTTTACACTTGACAAATGTGCTTCCCGCTGCTTCTTTCGAGACAGTACTACAGTCACACCACTCCCTGCACCTGTTGCAGTCTCTCTGGCTGACCCCTCAGGGGGCCCGGTTCTTGCACGTTCCTCCACTATTCTCCCGTGTCCGGCGGTTCCGTCTGGCTCGCTGTCAGATCTTCACCTCCCCTCGTTTTCTACGAACTTGGTGAGTACCGCTGCCCTCCAGGATGCGATGGTCACTACCACCACTCCTGGGGGTCAGTGTGTGGAGATCTGCACGTGTACACGGACGGGCCGTCTCCTAGCCATGTTCACCCGTTGGCCTGGGTTGAGCCTGTACACACTGACTACTGAGCCTACTCAGGTGGCTGCGTCTGGTCAGGTGTCCGCGTCAGGTCAGGTAGCAGCCCCCTGTTCGTGTCGCCTCCTCACGCACCAGACTCTCCTTTGGCACCACCGCCTTGGTCACCCCTCCCTACCACGCCTCCGTGGCATGCACTCCCACCTCCTTGTCTCTGGTCTTCCCAGGTCTCTGCCTCCCCTCCCGCAAGGAGACACGGAGGACTCTACACTGCGTTCGACGGGGTAGGTTGGCGATGCATCGGTGTTCCGGTTCAGGAGCTCTCGTGCCTTTGTCCGTGATACCTCCGCGGACAAGCTCTCCTCCCGCGCCATTCCCTGCGTCTTCCTTGGCTTTCCCACTGACGCGCCTGGCTGGCAGTTTTACCACCCCACCATGCGACATGTCCTGTCCTCTCAGGACGTCACGTTTGACGAGTCGGTTCCCTTTTACCGTCTCTTCCCCTTCCGTGCTGCCCCTCTCCCCCCACCCCCCGCCGCTCTTCCTCACTCCAGGTCCCTCTCCGGTAGACCCCCTCCCCTCTCAGGGTCCTGCTCCTTCAGGTGTGTCTCAGGTAGACCCACTTCCAATTGCTGAGCCTTTCAAGGTCATTGTCGACTCTGATGCTGTTGGAGGTGGTGCTTCTAGGGATGCTGCGTCTGGGGGTGATGAGCCTGAGGGTGCGGGGCCTGGGGGTGCTGAGCCTGAGGGTGCGGAGCCTAGGAGTGCTGAGCCTAAGGGTGCGGAGCCTGGGGGTGCTGAGCCTAGGGGTGCTGAGCCAGAGGGTACTGAGTCTGGGGGTACTGAGCCTAGGGGTACTGCATCTGCAGGAATTCCTGCGAGTGCCTCGCCACAGCAGTCTCGCTGGCGGGAGCCTCTCTCACCACAGCAGCTGCGTGAGTGGTTTGCTTGGCGCACCCGCCTTCGGAGTGTCGCTGCTAGCGCTGGAGGCCCTACTGCTGGTGGTACTGGTGCTGGAGGCACTAATGCTTAAGGCGCTAGAGCTGGAGGCGCTGGAGCTGGAGGCACTGGAGCTGGAGGCCCTGGAGCTGGAGGCGCTGGTGCTAGAGGCGCTGGTGCTGGAGGCGCTGGAGCTGGAGGTACTGGAGCTGGAGGTGCTGGTACTGGATGCGCTGGTGCAGGAGGCGCTGGAGCTGGTGGTACTCGTGTTAGAGGTGCTAGTGCTGGAGGTACTGGTACTGGAGGCGTTGGAGCTGGAGGTTCCAGTGCTGGAGACGTTGGATTTGTAGGTACTGGTGCTGGAGGCATTGGAGGTGCTGGAGCTGGTGGTACTGCACAGCGGCGACCGCTTTTCATTCTGCCGCCACCGTCGTCTCTGCCACCACCTGGCTCGGTGCTTCATCAGGTTCTTAGTCTCCCGTCTTCTACTGGCCTTCCTCCTCCCTTACTGTGTCCACCGCCTGACTAGTCGCAGCCACAGTTACAGCCAGATTCCCCGCTGCCTGCTCCTTCTCCTTACACTGAGCAGACAGACTCTCTTACAGAGCGTTGTGAGCCTGAGTCTCGTCCTGCGTCGCCTATTCGCGATGTTCGCACTGGACGTCATGTTTCTCGTCCGCATCCTCCTCCTGTCCCTGGCACTCACACTATGACACTTCGTCCTTCATATGTTCCACAGCGTGTCCTTCTGCCATCTCCTCCGGCGTCCTCTCTTCCTGACGTTCCGGACCCTGAGTCTGACTTGGTTCGTGCTGCCAGCCCTACTATCATATGTGCCCTAGCCACTGACCCTTCGTTTGAGTCCATTGCAGCGTCTGCTTTAGTTCCTGAGCTTGTTGACCTTGCTGCTGCGTGTCGTCTCGACTATGCCGCTAGTCTTGTTGCTGAGTCTGAGTCTGACTGTCCTCCGTCCGTCAGGGGTGAGTGTGCTCTTGGCACAGACGTCCTTGAGGACAGGCAGGATTGCAGCTGCTATACCTCATCTCGTGGCCATGCTGCTTGCACCTGAGGGAGACCCGGATGCACCAGACATCCCGACCCCGCGCTCTTACACAGAGGCGATTACGGGTCCCTACTCCTCTCAGTGGCAGACAGCCATGGGTACGGATATGGCATCCTAGAAGTCCACAGGCACTTACGTCGACGCAGTTCCCCCTCCTGGAGCGAAGATAGTCGAAGGCATGTAGATTTTCAGGGTGAAGCGGCCGCCGGGTTCTCCGCCTGTCTTCAAGGCTCGTTACGTTGCACGAGGCTTTAGTCAGCGACAGGGAGTTGACTTCTTCCATACCTTCTCCCCTACCCCAAAGATGACCACTCTTTGGGTGCTACTGCACGTTGCCGCTCAGCGTGACTACGAGCTTCACTCTTTTGACTTCAGCACAGCTTTCTTGCAGGGCAGCCTGCACGAGGAGATCTGGCTGCGCCATCCTCGTGGCTTCACTGGGTCATTTCCTAAGGGTACCCAGTAAAGCCTTAGACGGCCAGTCTATGGTCTCTGTCAGGCACCTCGTGAGTGGCACGACACAATGAGGACGACACTTGCGGCCCTTGGGTTTGCTTTTTCGACTGCTGACCCGTCGCTGTTTCTCCGCACCGACACTTCGCTGCCGCCATTCTACATCCTCGTGTACGTCGACGACTTGGTTTTTGCCACTGCTGACATTGAGGCACTGGCCCTTGTGAAGTCGAAGCTGCAGAAGAGACACACCTGCACAGACCTGGCGAGCCGCGCAGAGCACGGCGCACCATCACCCTGACTCAGTCATACATGGTGCAGCAGGTCCTTCAGCGCTTCGCCTTCCGGTACTCCTCGCCACTGTCCAGTCCTCTGCCTACCGGTCACTCGCTCTCAGCTCTACCTTCGGACGAGTCCGTAGAGCCGAGTGGCCCGTATCCAGAGCTAGTGGGCTGCCTCATGTACCTAATGACCTGCACTCGACCTGACCTTGCGTACCCTCTTAGCATCCTTGCTCGCTACGTTGCGCCTGGGAGACACCAACCAGAGCACTGGGAGGTCGCTAAGAGGGTGTTGCGCTACTTGTGCAGTACATCGGGCATGGGGCTCGTGCTTGGAGGACGGGGTCCAGTTGTCCTCACTGGACACTCAGACGCGTCTTGGGTTGACGACCTGGCTACGCAGCGGTCGTCACAGGGTTACACTTTCAACCTTGGCTCCAGCTCTGTTTCTTGGCGGTCGACACGCTCGTCTTCTGTTCTCAGTTCCAGTTGTGAGGCTGAGATCTACGCAGGAGCCATGGCTGCACAGGAGTTACGCTGGCTCACCTACCTGCTGACCGACTTGGGAGAGCGGCCTCGTTCTCCTCCAGTTCTGTACGTAGACAACAAGGCTGCCATTGCCTTGTGTTAAAAGCACGGACTGGAGCACAGAACGAAAAACTTTGCTCTGCGTTACTTCCTTGCTCGAGAGTTGCAGCAGCGTGGTCAGCTTTGTCTTGCTTACGTGGCCAAACGGGCCAACTCTGCTAATATATTCACCAAGGTACTTCAGTCTTATCATCATCTGCACTTCTGTACTGCTTTAGGTCTTGTGCCTGCTTTGTTTCACTTGCTCACTGCGTGACTTTGCTTGTACTGTAATATTATTTATATATTTATATACATATATATAGGGTGTAACATAGGCCTGGGGGTATATCCGGGTAATGACGGTAGTTTTGTGACCACTTGTTCTCCCCCACTTTGCCTATGGGGGTGTGTCAAAATATCATAATGTTTATAGTGTGTAGGCTGTAGTGGGGTAGGCCATAAAGGGTACAACCAAATTAGGGGTACTTGCTCTCACTTTGATCTCAATGTAACCATTCTCGTTAAGTATTCTGACACTATTATCATCTCAGTCATACATTCACTCTGACCTGAGGTCACTACTTCCGCTGCAACACTACCTGCGATCAACCCTGAGCCGATCCCTAGCTACCATATGGCCCCGGATATAAGCGCAGGCCTATTAAAAGCGCATGCGCTTGTATCTAGAGCAATGCGCTTATGGCCGATCCTCAATTATAAGCGCACCCCTTGGAAAATCGTGACTTATTACAAGCGCACCCTTTATGTTATATATATTTTTTTAACAACCTATCCTACATTTTCTAAACTTTTCATTAACTAAAACAATCACATACACGAGGGGTCTCTGCTGTCCAGCTCTACACAGCTTTCAACCTGCCTAGTCTACCCTACGGCCTATTCTTCCTCCTCGTCCGATTCAGGCTCCGTGGAGTTGTTGCCCCAGAACCCATCTGCTTGGATGTCGTCGTCTACCTCCACCTCATGGGACAACTGGCCTCTCCGGTGCGCCATGACCAGTTTGTCTTCGCTCCCGTCAAGGGCGTTGCTGATGCCGCACGTGAGGAAGGCTTTCTTGATCAAGTCGGCGGGCATAGCCTTCCACGCCCGTGAAATCCACTTGAGCACCACCTCCGGAGGTGGTTTCTTGATGTTCCCTGCATCACACAGTAGGGGGCGGGGAAAACGTGAGTCCTTAAGCAGGAATACAAGTCCTTAACCAGGAATGCAAGCAGGAGACGGGAGGACATGTCGCTCACCTGCCGGGGTCAGGATGTTCATGCCGTCCTGCTCAAACCAGTTCTGGTACTACTGACGTACGCTTGCTTTGAAGCTCTTGTTGATCGACACATCGAGCGGCTGCAGGTCTGCCGTGCATCCCGCCGAGATGATCGCGGGCACGATGTTGAGCGCCGCGAATCTCGCCCACATCGAGCCACTCGATGACGCCCGCGGCCTCCATCCACCCGTTCGCTTGGCAGCCGACCACAACATCTGCACGCAGGAAACCGACAGGTTAGAACGACTCTGGTAATACTGTCAAAAACAAGTGCGACAGCATCTTACCATTCGGGAAGTCACCCTTGGGGAGAGTCTTGCGCTTGAAAAACACCCACGGCTTCAGCTTCTCCCCCGTCGCCGTGCACGCAAGCATCACAGTGACTCTCTCCTTCTGGTACCCACCGCTGCGGATGGGCACCGACTTCATGCCCGTCTGCTCCACGGTGGTCGTCGCCGGCATCTCCAACCACTGCGGTGTCTGGTCGGCGTTGATGATGTAGCGGTTGTCAATGTCGTATTCATGCCGGGCGTCTCGAACGAACTGCCAGAACTCCTTGCACTGTTCCTCCACGTTTGCGCACAGGGAGGGAAGGACACATAGTAAGCTGGATTAGTAAGGCGCACAGGAGTCAGGCAACAAAGCACAAAATCGTAATCGGATTTTCGTTGAATTCAACGACAAACGAACCACTTACGCTCCTGTGTTTTCTGCGCCACCTTTATTTTCATTCGCACGCTGAGGTTCCACCGCTTGCGGAACCGCTCCGTCCACCACTGACTGCCTTTCCACTTGACGTCAGGGAATAGCACCTTCATCACTTCTTTTGACCACTCTTGCAGCCGTCCGACCGAAACCGCAACTCCGCGGCGTCGCCAGTCGAGGAGTTGCGCGTACACCTTCAACTCCATAGGTCGGTACCAAGATGACCTCCCGCGGCCATGAAGTTGCATCCGTGCGCCGTGTGCAGCCTTGAGCACATCCGCTTGGTTTTTCCACTCTGTCAGGCATTTTCGGTGTATGCCGGACTCACGCGCCACTTCGCTAACTGATGCCGCAAGCTCGAGCCGCACGAGCCACCTCAATATCTCCTGGGCCCTGTAGGTTTGCCGCTTATGTTGCGTCGGCTTGTGCCTAGGGGAGGGGGGGCGGGCATCTCGGTTCTCGGAAGACGGGTGGGGGCGTTATTTGTTAATGGGCGGATACGTCGGTATCAGCATCTTCTCACGTGGTGGTCCACACCGTCATCGTCCTCGGCAGTTGTGTCACGGTCTGGGAACACGTCCTCCTCGTCGCCCGCTGCACCGTCGCCTCCAGCTTCGCCGATGCGGCTGTCATGTTTGTTGGTGGCCACATCATTGTCGGCGCCCACAGCCGACTCATCCCACGTGCAGGCTTCTGGTTGTCCCCACCGTGGTGAAGGTGCCGGAGCTCGGATGCACGCATTGGGGGCCTTGGGTGTGTCCGCTTCAGCCAACCATTCGTCGAACGTCGCTGGTAAATACAGCTGGAGCACGAGCCGTTGGTGAGCACCTGCTGTAACAGAATCAGGCGGATTCGGTGGAACGGGAGGTGCGGGAGGAGTAGGAGGGGTAGGTGGAGAAGGAGGCACAGGAGGAACAGGAGGAGCAGGCGGTTTATGGGGATCCGGCGGTAAGTCGCCATGTGCGGCGTGGTTTTTTCTTGAAGAGGATGTGAGTCCCACTGAATTCCGCCATGGCTTCGCGTGCCAGGCGGGCTAGACTGGAAACTGAATGAAAAAAATGAAAATGAGGGTGCAGAAATGGGCAACGACGGGGACCCCTGCTGGTTGGCGGCTCGGGGTCCTCGTCGACGACAAGCAGGAAACCCCCGCCTACTCCCATAGAGGAACCTGCGTGGCAGCATATACGCTGCGCTGGCAGGGAATCTTGCCCACCCTTCGAGATGGTTCTGTCCGAATGCACATGCCACGCAGAGCATGCGGCTCTGATTGGGCCGCACGGCAACATCCCCGTCGTCACGGCTGTCACGTTCGATGGTTCCAGACAACTTTGTGCGGTGGGAAACCGAACCGCAACTGTTTCTGCCTGAAAACCACGACCCCACTTGGTGCATGGTCGGTTGAATTCGCCTTATTGAGAGCTTCACTTTGGTGTGTTAAAAAGTGAATTTCATTTTTTTCCCTTATACAAGCGCATGCGCTTATAAATCTGACTCAATTATAAGCGCGCCCCCCCAAAAAAACTATTTTTTACTGTAAGCGCAGGTGCGCTTATATCCGGGGTATTACGGTAAGTCCTGTTAAGGATTGTAACAATGTGTACGGCACAGAGCACACCAGTGCATGGCAAGGTGCACAGCATGCTTAAGTGTAAATCCCCTATTGTACATGCCCTGCTGTAGCTAGGTAGATCCCTGTGCTGACTGTGCTTTAGGGAGGTAAGCTTGTTAGGACCAGTCATGTTAGAGTGCCACTTCAGCTTCTACACACCGTACTACCTTCCGTTGCCACCGGCGTGGTGTAGTTCCAAGAGGCCCGCCCCCCACAGCAATAGCAGCCACAACAGCAGCAACAACAGAAACTAATGGAGTAGCATTAGCAGGAGAACCAGCAAATGCACACTGTATTGAAAGTGGAGATAAATTTCCGTCACAAATGTTCTCTCTATGTCCGAGATACCGTATCCTAGGGTACATTTTGCGCTGGACATGTCCCAATCGAAAGTGTCTAAATCGATTCTACCGCACTGCATCGTATTACACCGAATTACACCCTAGTTTAGAATTTTTTGCGTCTCTGCTTTAGTTCGGTTCGGAGCGGTACACTCGATTGGGACACTTTCTTTGAGACAGTGTCCAGAGCGGAATGTACCCTTAGCACTACAGCAGCTGTTGTTTATAGCATGGCTGCATTGTAAAATGTTAACTTCTATTAACTCGCATTTGATATGTACAAACCATGTCTTACTGCATAAGAAGGAACATTACAAATGCACAGAATCACACTAGCTAAGCTACCGTAGTGGCATTCATTGAGCATCTGTGATGTTCCTTCTCGGGTCACACCATCTCCACGTGCATCCATCTCCCATTCCCCTCTCCTTCAAAGCCTGCCGCCAATGAGCTTGCCCGACAAGCTGCTGCTGGTGCCGGTGAAGCCAATGTAGAGCTGGCCATTGATGCCAGCCTGGATGGCGCTGAGCACGGCCGCCAGGTCCGCCGGCGCGACAGTGAGCACATTGGCCAGCGACCACGACACGGAGCTCAGCAGCTGCCACGTGCCGGGCAGCTGCAGCGCCACGGGTGGGGCTGCCTGCCCGCACGTGCTGTTGCCGCTGTAGATGGCCGCCGCCTGCGGTGCCTCCGCCATGCCCGTCGCCACCACCTCGTACGCCACCGCGTACGCCCAGCCCCTGCCACGAGGAGAGGGGGAGAGGGTTGCACAATAGGGGGGTATTACCTACTGCTTGGCAGAAGCATTGTGAGGGTCAGAGCTGATGGCAATGGATGGGGGGAGCAAGATAGTGTTAACGTGGGAGAAATCACAGAGAGCCCCCCCAGTGAGGAGGTGGGGGGAAGGGTGGAGGGTGGAGGGGGAGAAGAGGGAGGTGGGGGAGGTGGGGGAGCGGAAGGGGGAGGTGGGGAAGGAATTGGCTTACATGTTGGTGATCTGGATGTTGGCTGCTCCCACAGGGAGAAGGCCCTCGCACGAGGTGAGCACGCCACGCAGCATGCCTGCAGTGAGAGGGATGCGAAAGAGCAGCAATATGGGAGATTTGGATTGAGTGAGCAAGGCTGTTTCAAAAACGGCCGGCAGTGACAGGAATCGCCGAGAGCTAGAACGGTGCACAAGCAATGTGACAAAGCCACAGCTGCTGTCACTATGGCCGGTGTGCCTGATTGTGGGATGGAAAAACGAATGAGGAGCAGAGGCGATGCGAGACAAGCATCGCTATTACCATTGCCAGATTCATCCATCAACATAGAGGCTCAGTTTCCAAAGCAAGTTCATGCATCTCTGCTCTGTACGTGCGGGATTAGGGTTTACGGAATAAGGGTTCGCAGGATTCGGGTTTAAGGAAATCTCTGCGGGATTAGGGTTTGCGGGGCTGACCTGCTGGGCGCGGCAGCAGAGCCACGAAGTCCGCCACGCCAAGGGCGTCACTCAGCGGGGCAAACAGCGCGTCCACCTGCGCAGCGAGCGCCGACACGTCCAGATTCAGTGCACCCACCCTCTGAGTGAGCGCCGCCACTCGCTGACTCAGCAACGCACGGAGGTTGGGGAGGATGCCCGCCAGGACTGTGTTGAGGGAGGTAGCGCGCTTGTTGATGGCGGGGAGGCTGCCTGTAAGCGACGAGATGCGCGACTGGAGTGTGACGGGTGTCGCCTGGGGAGTAACGCCGCCGGGTCGCGTGATTCTAAGGTATAAAATCAGGTCGAGGTTCGCAACGCGTGAGTTCAGAGCGTCGATGCTGCTCTGGAGGGCGGAAATCTGCCCTTGAAGCGCCAGTGTGGCTGCGGATGCGTTGTCGTTTAGTGCGGTAGCGAACTTGTCGAGCGATTGCGTGAGCGCTCCTTCTAGTGAAACGACCTGCGCTTGCAGCGCGGATATTAGGTCAGACACGCTAGTAGTTATCGTGCTCCGACTACTGGGCTGGTCGGTTCGGGATGCGATTCCCGAGCAGTCCGGTGGAGACGAGTCTAGACTGCGCGCATGATGCGAATAGCGCCGTTACGAGGAGTGCCGCCACAAGTGAGGAAGCTAGAGGCGAACGCGCCATGGGGACGAAATGCGGGAGACACTATAGTAGCGAAAGAGAGCGGCGCGCAGTGATCGCTGCTGGTACCAGAACGTACGAATTTCACGCTACGTAAAAAGGGAGCGGCTGAGGAAGGCAGTCGTGGCCGATTTAGGAGCGGTTGCAAAAAGTGGAAGGAAGCTTGTGACTGAAGGCTTAGATTGTGAGATTCAGATAGCGGCTAACCCTCGAAAAACCTCAAAACGCTCGAACCAACGCGGTAGTCTCGGGAAGCAGTCACCGGCGCGGTGATTAACGGTTGGTTTGCGGCGATCGAATGGGATGAGCGTGGGCGACGATGAGTGAGGTGCGGCGAACCTGCGATGGGCTGGGCAGGGGTTTGCACCGAATGCGATTCGCTTCACGCGGAATCGCTCTGAGCGAAATTGGCGAAGTAGCTCTAGGAAGGAGAGATCGCGCCCCGTGCTAGAACTATCCGATATTAGCATAACCTCGTTTCATACAATAAAAATATATCAATCGTGTACGTATTGTTCATCACCTGTTTTGAGCTGTTCTTGAGCGGACAAATTTTCAGGCTGGAAGACAGCGGAAAACGTGCCCCCTAAAATAGCTAGTCGTTTCTATTGCCCGTGCCTATCACCTCCCCCCTCCCCCCCCCCCCCCCTCCCCCCCCCCCCCCCCCCCCCCCCCCCCCCCCCCCCCCCCCCCCCCCCCCCCCCCCCCCCTCCCCCGCGCGCTCCTGCTAGGCGAGTGTCTGCTCTGTGCCCCTCGCGCGCCTGTTTCCTGCCATTTGCACGTGCCGGCCCCTGCCCGTCGCGCACCCGTCCCCTTCCCATCGCACGCCTGTCCCCTGTTTGTCGTGCGCCAGCCCTCTGCAAGCCGTGCGCTCGTGGTCCCTAAACCAATGGATTAAAGGCAATTTTTTACCCTAGGCCTATCCGTCGTCCCTGCAAACAGCACTGATCGTCCAAAAATGTTTGAAGAATATCTTTTCCTATATTTTTATTCACTCACCCGCACTCGGCATGCCACCCCAACTACGACACGGGTTACTTGGACATTGTTGGAGTGAGAAGGGAATTAATTTAAGGATTCCCATGTGTACAGTTGTATCGCACCTATCGCTGTCGAAGCACCGCCAGCAGCAGTATCGGATAGGCCCATGTTAGGGCAGGAAGGGCAACAGTCGCAAAGGTCAACTGTCGTGACAGTTGACCATCTGGATCGGCGACTCACAAGCGAAGAATGGCAACAGATGTAACTGTCCATACAGTTACACGCAGCGACTCGATAACAGAAAGAAGTGCAAAAGGCGAAGTCATTATAGAAGTGCCTAAAAGTATTTATTAATAAGGGAATGTTTCCCTTAGAGTACATTGAATCTTGTCATTTACATTCACTAATGCACAAGGTTCCTACCACAAGACTTCCGTTACCATTTCGCTCTAAGGCATACCTATCCCGTCCAAGATCCTCACTCTAACGTAGTATTTGAGCTAGTTTGGATAATAGGAACTGCCAAAAGTCTTCATTCAAGACAATCTTTATTAAATTTCTCTTACAATCATGGAAAGCATCATGCCAGGCGCAGATTGCGGTGAAACTGGAGAACATCCAGAAAATCCATCCACCAATGTCACCTCTGGAATGACAACAGTGAATCAAGCGCTCATCGAGGAGCTCATAAGCTGGACCAACGCATTTGAAAGCCATCAGCCAATGAGCATTCATGGTTCTAGCTACACCTGCAGACCACCCGATGCTCAGGTAGCCAACTCTGAGCGGTCGTTTACCTTTTACAATCGTGGCGCAAAAGGATCTGCGCAAGCTCAACAAGCACAATACAGAGCAAATTCCTCACAACGTCAAAACTCAGAACGACCAAGCTCTTCGACGGGAAGGATTTCTACACTTGGAGCTTTGAACTTGAGCTCCTGGCATAAAGCGCACAGATGTGGATGTACTACGACGGTTCATTGCCTTTCCCAATCAACGGCTCACCTCAAGAGAAGACTCAATAGTACAACAAGTAACTACTTCAGCATCCTGAATTGAAATATGATGCCCAAGGTTTAGCTCAGCATCCACTCCTTCAAGAACGAGTGGGCGCCAGTGCAATAATCTTGGGAACACCTGCGCACCTGTTACGTGGCAACGAATTCAGTGACACGTAGTCGCCTGCTGAATCAACTCAACAACGTGAGAATGTTTTCATGGAAAAGGCCGAACCATACATCAACAAGTGCAGAAACCTATGAGATCAGTTCAAGAAAAGCGGCGGCCACTTCTCTGACGACATGTTCACCACCATCATCCTTGCCAGGTTGAGTACGGAATGGCGCCACTGCAAGTCGCTTCTCCGCACCCAAGGAACACTCAGAGAAACATTGCTCTGCGTCTCGCTCCTTGCCGAGCATTAGGAGATTACCCTGTACAACGAGAGAGGCAACAAGAATGAGAACATTGGACGTCACACAAACGCACAAGCGCCACCAGACAAGAAACAACTCTTCTGCAAATACTGCAAGGAGATGGGGCACACAATCAAATAATGTTGGAATATGAATGGCAACAACAGTCACGGACAGAGACAACAAGGAGGAGTAGCTTACCAAGAACCCGCATGACCTCCAGCAGGAAACTAGACAGTGTCACCACCTGCCATCGCCAGCACCTCTCAGTCTCTAGTGTGCATCCCTGCAAACGCAAACGACAAGGGAAAGAACAAGGTGTTAACGTGCATGGTGTAGCACGGACCGCCCCAAATCAATCTCGACTACTGATTCTTCCGCAGTTGGGAAGACATGTTTGCAGACCCACCCCAAGAGAGGCCCGAAGATTCGGTCGAAGAAGAAGAGGAGAACGACCCCACCTACGACGAGGTGATGGTTGGCCGCATGGATTTTGACTTGCAGGCGCCACAGTGGTTCCTAAAGTCGCCACTTGCACGCATTGCATACGGCAACAAGACGATTACGAGCAAGACCATGATATGGACCATTATCCAAGTCAAAGACTCGGGAACCTCGCCAAGGCCAAGAAAGAAGTTAACGAATGGTACATGGACAGCGCATGGTCAACACATGGTCTTGTTGAATGTCTTCATCCTCAACAGCGAACAACTCTTCAACGAGGTTAAGATCACCATCGCGAACAGCCAAACGATCTACGCAAAAAGTCACGGGCAGATCCAGTTGGAGTCGAACGACACCGGGTACGCCATCCATATCAGTGATGTCCTTCTCGAGCCAGAGCTTCGATACAATCTCCTGTCTACCGCCTTGCTGATGAAGTGTGGTGTCGACCTGCACACAACAGAGAACGAGTTTCACTTAATATACAAGGGGAACCTTCTCAAATTGGCGAAGAACGAAGACGGTATATTCGTGCTCGATTTCGAGTCACCCAATACTTATGGTGACAATAAACGCATAATCATTCTTGATCCTCCCGGCCACCTGTAACGTAAACCCTAAACTTCGAACGATAAATCCCTTGATCTTGGTAAGGTCTATTGGTTTGAGTTAACCCTCGGGTTATTTATAAGAGGGTTGGTACTTGTGGAGGGTATTTTACCAAGGTTTACCCTTTATTCTTATGCATGTAGTTGGGGATTGCATTAAGGAGGAAGGTATGGACATAAGGAAGGTTCCTTGGGAATAAGAGTAAGAGGAAGGTTCCTTGGAAGGTGGCTGGTTGGAAGCTTCATTGGTGGAAGCTAGGAAGGATCTATTAGGGAAGGAGCATGGAAGGAGCATGGAAGGGGAATGAGGAAAGCAACAAGGAAGGTTCTATGGTGGGGGTTCCCTTGGAGATATGGGTGAGCTCAACGGAGCACTCTCATTCGTTAGTTGGATTGCTAGGATCCTCGGCCAATAGGGAAAGGATTCCTAGGATTGCATGAATAAGTTAGAAGGATGGTGGTTTGGGTATGCCCTTCCACTATATAAGTCCTTGTAGGTTGTGTGTAACTCATATCCTTCATAGTGCATTCTTACCAATGCCACAAGCTCTCTCAACATTCTAGCTACCTTGGTGCCTAGCCCTCTCAATCTACCTTGGAGTACCCTTGGAGTCTACCTTTGGTGGAGCATCCTACTAGTGGAGAAGAGCCCAAGGAGAGGGCTGCTACTCTACAAGGGAGGAAGTGCTGGCCAAGAAAAGGGAGTCTCGTACTGCAAGGAAGAGAGAGGTCACGTGTAACTGGGTGATGTCCAAGAAGGAAGGTCAGAAAGTTTCAAAAGTTAGTGATTTTGTGGTGGCCCATACAGGTCCCTCTCTCCCTTTGGCTGAGAAAACGGACGTTGTGCGTACTCCTACTAACACCATGTCGACGATTGCTGCAGCTATGGGCCAGCTCCCGCGGTTCGATGGACGCTCTCCCGACCCCAAGGTGTGGCTAAGCCAAGCCACGAGGGCGATGAGGTGCTTCCTCGCGAACACGACGGACGTGCAAAAGTTGGACTACCTACTCATGCACCTGACGGACTCTGCCTACGTGTGGGCGGAAAGCAAGAACTTCACGACGGTGTCGGGGTTCGAACAAGCGTTCCAGAGTCGGTTCGTTTGGGAGAGCACGGCGACCGTGATGCATAAGCTGGCGACGTTGAAGCAGGAAAAGGGGCAAACGGTGACGGAGTTGGCGGATGAGGTGAGGCAATTGGCGGCCTATGTCAAGGACTACCCGGTCGCCATGATGGTGAGAATATTCATTGAGGGATTGGAGGACCCGGGGTTAAGAGAGAAGGTGTTGGGAGGAAGGCCGGTATCATTGGAGGCAGCAGAGGAAGCCGCTAAGTACTTTGTGACCTACGCGCAGCCGAAGGAGATAGAGAAGGAGGAAAAGAAGGTGGAGGTGAAGGAGGAGTCGGATGTGGATAAGATCACGAAGCAGTTGGAGAAGTTAGCCATGCAGCTGACTCAGATGCAGCAGGGTAGGGGAGCAGGTATCCTCCCTAGGCCGGGTGGTGGTGGAGGAGGAGGTTTTAAGTGTTACCAATGTGGGAAGGAGGGGCACATGGCTAGGGATTGCACTCAAAAGGGGAGGCAGGCCATGAACGTGATGCAGCAGATCATGGAGAAGACGAAGCCGACCATGACCATAGCGGAGTTTTTGAATGGAGAGGAGGACGGAGTGGAAATGTTGGTAGGAGAAAGGAAGAGGCATGCCATTAGGGATCCGGAAGGATGGGGAATCGAGGAGGCAAGGGATGAGTTGAGAAAGAAGTTGGCGGAAGGAGGAGAGGAGGCAAAAGGGTCGCGGTTCGTGAGGGGAAAGGCAAGGATCTCGTCCCTCCCCACGTCCTACAATGTGGTGGATCAACTCAAACTCACACCAGTGAGTGCGAGCGTGTGGAACTACATCAAGGATAGTGACAAGGTGAGAAAGGAGTTGTTGGAGGCTCTAAAGAAGGGGGATGAGGAGAAGGAGGATGGGGCAGCTGCTATGCAAGGAGTGGCAAAAGTAGTAGCAGCCGCACCGGTGGAGGCAAAGGGGAAGGAGAAGGAGCCGCCTAGAGCTAGTAACCTAATCTTTCAGATCCCACAGTGCGACGTGTACCTCGGGAAGCATCGGGTGACCGCGATAGTTGATTCGGGAGCTTCACAAACCGCCTTATCCCACGTGATAGCTAGGAAGCTTGGGCTGTTACCATACATCCAAGACACCACCATAGAGTTCACCACCTCTAGTGGAGAGACTTCGAAGCCGTGGGGGATTTTGCCGGACGTGCCGGTTAGGGTAGGGAAGCTGACTCTACCGGTGGATATTGCTGTGACGGGAGCGAACACGTACGACATGCTCCTAGGTCAGGATTGGATCTATTCAGCCAACGCGGATATCTTGACTAGCAAGGGGAAGATAGTCTACCAGGTTAACACCACGGAGACCGATTCGGTCCCCATCACCACGGGGCCATTGGGTGTCACCCGTCCCTCTTTTGTGCTCCTCCCCTCCCGCACAGTCCACAGGAACATCAATGAAGAGGATGAGGAGCGGATCAGGGAGTGGATGGAGGAACAGGATTTCCTTAATTGGATGGAGGAGAGGAGGATAGCTATGGAGGAGGGTAGGGTGGAGTTGAATACGGAGGAGGAGGACGAGTACTATTTATGGTTAAGGGAGCAAGAGGAAGAGGAGGAAGAGGAGAAGGAGGAGGCTTCTAGTGAGGAGGAGTCCGAGGAGGAAGAAGAGGAGAAGGAGATTAAGGAGGCTAGAGGAGAAGAGGAGGAGACTTGGGGGCATGACTTCGGGAGCCCAACGGCGGATGAGATGGGAGCTTGGGACACGATGGGCCTAGGGATTGATTGGGACAAAGAGTACGATGAGATGGTGGAGAAGTATGTGGAGGATGTGAACGAGGCCAAGTGGGAAGGAGACTCGATGGTGGATGGAGAGGAGTACCTAGACCAAGGAGTGGAGGAATGGGAGTTGATCTATGATAAGAAGCGGAAGCGGATTAGCCCGAACCACCTTTTTGAGCTATTCAACTACCCTGCAGCAGAGAGGTGGAACTATCTTGCAGCGGAGAAGGGGGATGAGGGGAGGATCATCTTAGGGAGCTACTACACCCTCAAGAAGGAGGCTCCTAGGGTAGCTTGCCCCGCATTCGAGGACCTGCCCGTCTCTTTAAACCATGAGTTAGGGGAGCAGCAGCAGAAGGAGGTGCGGACGCTCTTGGTGGAGTATAGGGATATCTTCTCCACGGAGAAGGAGACGCTAGGAACCCATCCCACCATTCGCCACCACATCTCCACAGGCAATGCTAAGCCCATCGCTCATAAGCCATACCGAGTCTCACCATCCGAGCGCGCTAGAATCGAGGAGGAGGTTAGTACCTTGCTCAAGCAAAGAGTCATCCGCCCATCCAACAGCCCATGGTCATCCCCATGCATAGTCATCCCTAAGAAGGACTTTGGGGATCGAGTGGTGATCGACTATCGTCCACTCAACGCAGTCACGGAGGCAGCCGATCAGTTTCCCATGCCACGGATAGACGATATCCTAGACAAAATGACGGGCTCGCTCTACTTCTCGGTGCTCGACGTTAAATCCGCCTACCACACCATCCTTGTAGCAGAGGAGGACGTCCCAAAGACGGCCTTTGTCACCTCCACGGGTCAGTACGAGTACACACGGATGCCTTTCGGTCTCAAGAACGCACCTACCACTTTCCAACGCCTCATGACCACCACCTTCCGCACCCATACCAATGCCATCCCCTACCTAGATGACATCATTGTCTTTTCCAACAGTTGGGAGGAGCACCTTGACCATCTGCGGGATGCATTTGAGAGGATCAAGGAGAACCACCTCTTGTTGAAGTCGAACAAGTGTGAGCTGGGTTTTTACTCCACCATCTACTTGGGGCATGTAGTGACAAGGGAAGGAGTGAAGCCGGACGGAGGAAAGGTGGAGGCAATTAGCAACATGGCGGCACCAGTGGACCAGAGGGGAGTAAGGGAGTTTTTGGGGTGCACGAGCTACTATAGGAGGTTCATCAAAGGGTATGCCAAGGTGGCACACCCCCTCACGCAGCTGCTCCATAAGGATCGCCCTTTCGAGTGGACCCAAGCATGCGAGCATGCATTCAACACTCTCAAGCTCGCACTCATTTCACCCCCATCCTTGCATTCCCGGATTTCCAAAGGCCATTCATTCTCCAAACAGATTATTCGGCCAAGGCGTTGGGAGCTATCTTGGCACAAAAGGATGAGAAGGGAGCAGAGCGGGTGGTGGCATACGCTAGTAGAACTACAAGGGGAGCGGAGCGGACTTTATCCTCAACACACGGGGAGTGTTTGGCGGTGGTGTGGGCGATCAAGCACTTTAGGCCTTATCTCTACGGGAGCAAGTTTCTGCTACAGACGGATCATCAAGCATTGCAGTGGCTCATGACGGCAAAGGACCTTACGGGGAAGCTGGCTAGGTGGAGTTTGCTGCTACAGGAGTACGATTTCACCATCACTTACCGGGCGGGGGAGACACATAAGAACGTGGATTGCTTGAGCCGCATGCAACCGGAGTTGCATCTTCATGCGGGGGGGGGGAGGACCATTCCATTATCATGCATTCATTCCCTCACCTCCCATCTCCCACACAAGCTACCCCATCCCCATGTACACATCCCTCTTTCCCAGGGACAAGGATGAAGAGGAAGGGGAGAGTAGTGAGTCAGTGACTCAAGGGGAGAAGGGGAAGGATGGAGAGGAAGAGGAGAGCACGGAGGAGGATGAGAAGGAGAATGGTGAAGGAGAGGAGGAGGATAGCAAAGATGAGGAGGAAGGAGAAGATGATGGGAGCAAGGAGGAGGAAGGAGACAAGGAAGGGGAGGTAGAGGAGGATAGTAGTGAAGAAGAGGAAGGGGAAGAGGTCGGAGAAGAGGAGGATAGTGGGGATTATGAGGAAGGGCAGCGGCCGGATGATGGAGTAGATGAGCAGCTGTTGGAGGAGTTAGGACAGCCTAAGAAGAAGGCAAGAGTGGATGGAGATGAGGAGGAAGGAGAGGAGGGGACCCCGAGTAAGAATCCCGCGTCCGAGACCCTCGACATTTGGGATGACACCAACACACTGTTCTTCCTAGAGAAGGGAGCGGTTGATCCGGCATGGAACTCGGTGGAGAAGAGGAGGGTAAGAGCAAGGGGCAAGAACTTTGAATGGAGGGATGGGAGGCTGCTAAGGAAGATAAAAGGGGAGTTGAAGCCGGTACCTAGGAAGGAGGAGAGGAGGGATATCATCGCATTCCTTCATGGGTTGGGGCATTTGGGGGTGCAGAGGACCACGGACCTGGTCAAGAAGCAGAATGATTGGTATGGAGTGGGGAGTGATGTGACGGCGTTCGTGAAGGGATGTGCTGTTGGTGCAACCCTACGGTTTGCACTCGGCTTGTTGTCCGTGTGCGTATGCGTACATGCGTGTGTGTGCATGGAGTGGTATGAGTGCATGAAATAAATATATATTTCATGCTTATAATGGTGTGTGAATGATGGGTCATGATGTCAAGTGTGTGTGTCGAGTCAATAGCGAGTTATCGCTAGTCGCGTGTAACGCGGTCATTTTGTGTGTCCCGCGCGGTTTCTATTTTGTCGTGCGCGGTTTCTATTTTGTCACTTGTCGAACGTTCGGCGTGTCGCAGGTGTGTGCAGCAGACCCATCAAGAACTCAAGGATGAGTTTTGTGATGAAGAACCCGAGCCTTGGTTCAAGCTTCAAGTGTTTTCGAAGCTCGCCAAAAGGCTACACCTCAAGATATTGAAGATTGTTACATTACAAAGTGTAGTGTAACATTTCAGTTGGTGTAGGCCCTTGTGAAGGGTAGTTTCGAGACCCTTCTTGGTTGGGGACAGTGTGACACTGTTCCCATCACTGTACCTCGGCTCTTGGGGTTTGTAGGAGCTGGGAGTCATTCCCAACTCGTAACTCTTCCTAGCTGTTCGTAATTGTGTTTCTAAGACTAAGTTGCTGCCATAGTGCCGTTCGTTCAAACTGATGCTGTGTCGTCAAATCTTAATGAAATCGTGCGATCTAAATTTCATGTTGTAGGCGACGTTAAGACGCTCCAGATCCAAGTTGAATGAAGTCAATTGGAGCTGTGACCAGATCGCTATGATTGTTTGAAGCCGCTGGGCAGAAACCTGACTGCGCACTCTATCTTTCGTTTTAGGCATATTGAAGCCTACTGTGACTATAACAAGTGGTATCAGAGCGCCTTGGAGCAGCTACGACGATGGCTGGACCTGAAGAGAGGGGTGGCAGAGGTGCTGGAGGCAATGGAGAAGCCCAAGCACAAGGCCAAGCCCGTGATTCAGCCGTGGCGCCCGTACAATCTACTCTTGGGCCTTCAAGGGATGAGCCAAGAGTGTTCGGGCTTGAAAAGTTCAACGGCGACAACTTTGCTGAGTGGTCCTTCAGAATGGAGAACGTGTTTGACCATTATGACCTGCTGGAGGTGATGGAAGGAACGGAGAAGCGTCCCGAGAACGACCCGGAGAAGAGCTCGTGGGTGCGGAAGAGCGCACAAGGCTATCTCCTACTTGGGCAAGCGTTGGGGAGCACTCAAATCCGTCACATCAAGCCTTTCCAGCGTGAACCAGAGAAGGGACCTAAAGCATGGGCTGCTCTCAAGGGTGTACACACTCCTGCAACAGCGGCGGTAGCTGTGGTGTTGGAACGGCAAATGGCGACGCTACGAATTGAAGAAGATGAACCCGTGGAAGACGGGGTGCAGAAATTCTTCGACTTGTTGACGCGGCTTGAGGGAGCTGATTTGAACTACAGTGAGCTCCAGAAGAAGACCAAGTTGCTGGCCTTACTCCCCGAGTCGTGGTCCTCCCTCATCATCAACTTGAACCGTGATCTGCCCCGTCTCTCGCTTGAAGACGTGAAGCGCGCGATCCTACAAGAGGACTTCCGCCGCCGTGAGTTGGCGAGTGCAGATGGCGCTGGGGCAGCAAGCGTCGGCCGTGGATATGGCCGAGGAAGAGGCAGAGGACGAGGGGGAGGAAGATTTGGTGGCAGCAACTTCGGCGGAGGCCGCGGGAGTGGCGGTTACGGCGGCGACGACAAGAGCTACGGGCGCGGTCGCGGCCGATTCGATGGCGAGTGTCACTATTGCGGCAAGAGCGGACATATGTGGCGCGATTGCTTCAAACTCCCTGAAGGATGGACCCCTGCTCAAGGCCAAGAGGGTGGAGGAGCAGGAGGAGGGAGAGGCAGAGGCCGTGGCGGTCGCGGAGGTGGAGCCGCGAACATGAAGAACGAAGATAACGACAAGGACCCGAGCGGCGATCGGTACCCGGGTCTATTCTACTTCGTGTCGACGCAAGTACCGGCTGGTCCAGAGAAGGATGAAGACCTTGAGGAGCCAGCAGCTGTGGGGAAGGTGACCCTACACCCCCTGGACTTTTGGGTGATCGATAGCGGCGCTACCTACAGCATGACACCTCGCCCCGACTTGCTCACCGAACTCGAGCCGTCACCGGTGAAGCATGTCACATCGGCTTTGGGGCAGCGAGCAGAGGTGAAGGGCATGGGCAAGGCCATGTTCAAGGGTGCTGATGGGAAGATGGTGGGCCTCAAGAACGTGCTTTGGGTGCCCAGCCTTGCTGCAAACCTGATTTCCGTGCGGCGGTTGGCAAAGGCCGGCATGGACACGAACTCGACACGAACTCGAAGGGAGCCAAGACCTACACCGCAAGGATTGGCGACCGGATTCTATGGGACCTTCACGAGGATAGGGACGTCTACAACGAGATGTGGCAGATCCCTGTGGTCCCCATGCCTAAGGAGAGGCAAGTGGCAGCAACCGCCAGAACCAAGGGTGAAGCGGTTGGTAGCGGCGATGGCGCGAACGGTCGCGCTAAGGAGAACGAGCTCAAGAGGAGCAAACCTGGAGTGACCAGCAAGCTGTGTGACCATAAGGAGAGTGGTGCAGCAGCCAAGGAGCAGCACAAGGGTGAGGAGAACCCCAAGGCAGCAGCGAAGGAGGAGTACGGAGAGAGTATGTGGGGCGCTATTGCGAGCGCGGCATTCTCCAATCCAAATTCGACTACGGGGGAGTGTGATTGGCTCACCTTGCATCGGCGAATGGGGCATGTGGCCCTGCCTATTTTGCAGCAGCTAGTGAAGAATGAGATGGTTGCTGGCATACGTGTGAAGGGGGAGCCCGATGAGGTGCTTGGCTGCCCGACGTGCTTGCAGGCCAAGTTCACGCGGTTTCCGTTCTCGAGCTCGGAGACGACGGCAAAGGCACCGCTTGATGAAGTGGTGATGGACGTGGTGGGCCCCCTGAAGCTTGGAGCTGCTGGAGCAGAGTATTTCCTCACCATAGTGGATGTCTACACCCGCATGACGTGGGTGTACGTGCTGGCCAAGAAGAGTGACGTGGCTGAAACGTTGAAGACCGACTTTCTCCCGATGGTGGAGCGGCAACAAGACCGACTTGTGAAGTCGATCCGCACCGATCGAGGGGGAGAGTTCCTGAGCAAGGAGTTTGGGTTGTGGCTGAAGAAGAACGGCATTCGGCACTCCCTCACCATGCCATACTCCCCTGCAATGAACGGCATCGCCGAGCGTGCGAACCGGACGATCACGGAGGCGGCACGCGGGTTGCTCATTGAAGCCGGGCTACCCGACTATTTCTGGCCTGATGCGGTGCGGAGCGCGTGTGTGGCCAAGAACAGAGTCTTGACTCATGTGGGAGCAGACAAATGGGTGCCCTATGTGGAGTGGCTTGGCAGGAAGCCAAAGGTGGATATGCTTCGGGTGTTCGGGTGCATGTGCATGGCGCTCGTACCTAAGCATCTTCGGCACAACAAGCTTGGTGCCAAGGCGGTGTGGGCCGTGCACTTGGGCATGGCTCAAAACAGCAAGGGGTGGCTTCTTTGGGACCCATTCACCAAGAAGTTCATGGTGAGCAGGGACTGCAAGTTCATGGAAAACTTCATGTACAAGGATTGGAAGGCGGAGAATGAGGCGAAAATAGGCGTGCGGTTTGGAGAGGTGAAGAGTTCCGGGTTGGAGCACGTGGAGCTGCCTTTGGAGCTGAGCAGCGGCAGCACCACCACGAGGCAATCTTCCCTTGTGAATGGGGGAGAGGAGGCCAATGATGCAGAGGAAGAGGAGGAGGAGGAGGTGCAGCAAGTGAGCGAACGTGCACCGACACTCCCTTCCCGCACTACGAGCGCTCCACGGAACCGCACCACACCGCAGCAACGCCAAGGCCTTCAAGTCCCTGCAGCTGAGGAGGAAGGAAGGGGCAAGAGGAGAGTCCAAGCCCCTAATAGGCTGACCTATGATGCGCCGGGGAAGCAGGGCAAGACGGCCCTAGCTGGAGCGGCAATGATGGTCGGAGACGACGAGGAGAGTGATTACGAGGAGTGTGCCTTCGCATTCTTCTCTCCGGTGGAGATGCCGGGAGAACCAGCAACTCTCAAGGAAGCCTTGGAGAGTAGTGATGCTGAGGAGTGGAAGAAGGCAATGGAGAGTGAGCTGAAGAGCATTGAGGAGAACGACACGTACGAGTTGGTGGAGCTACCGGAGGGGCGTACGGCGATTACGTCCAAGTGGCTCTTCAAGATCAAGTCCGACGCCGACGGCAAGATCGAGCGTTACAAGTCCAGGCTGGTGGCCAAGGGGTACCAGCAGAAGGAGAATGTGGACTACAAGGAGCTGTTTGCTCCTATGGTGAAGCCGACGACGCTGCGAACCCTACTCGCGGGAGCCGCGATTAAAGGATGGGTGGTGAAGCAGCTAGACATCGTCACGGCGTTTCTCAACGGAATCCTCGAGGAGGAGATTTTCATGGCGCAGCCAGAGGGGTTTGACGATGGCAGCGGCAGAGTGTGGAAGCTGAAGAAGGCCCTCTATGGGCTGAAGCAGGCCCCTTAGCAGTGGTACCTGAAGCTGCGCGAGGTGTTGGAGGAGATCGGCTTCACTCCCTCAACGGCCGATCACTCCTTGTTCATGCTTGGCGAGGGGGAGCAGAGGAGCTTCATGGTGGTGTACGTGGACGACATCCTGATCTTCTCACCCTCCTCTGACCTTGTGAAGGAGGTGATGCTGAAGCTGCAAGACAAGTTCAAGTGCAAGTCCCTTGGGGACGTGAACTTCTACCTCGGGCTCCACATCGAACGAGACGTGGAGAAGCGGTGCATGCGGGTGCACCAACGCAAGTACCTGGAGGCATTGGCTGCCAACTTTGGGCAGAATGAAGGCCATGTGGCTACACCCTTTCCCTCTGGGTTCAAGTGTGTGAAGGGACCAGAGGAGGAGAGCGTGGGTGAAGAGGAGAGGCGCCGTTTTCACTC